AGTACTGTTGGATTATCAAGAAAATTGCTCAAAATTCCCCCATGCCAAAGTCAAAAAACAAAAAAAAATATAAAAAGGAAGAAAAATCATGTACAAAATAATGTCAATAAATAAAGCAGAATCCCATGCATATGGGCCCTATAGATATGACTCTGAAAGTGTGCCCACAATGAATAGCGAGGGGAAGGTTGGTTTCGCAGTGAAAGCTTTGATTCTTTGCAACAAATGCATAGAAGACCCACTCTGCGTGTTGCTTCCCCATTACCCCTTTCAAAGTCCTTTGTTTCCTTCCCTTTTCCCTTTTATTTTTTTTTTCTCTCCCTCTTTTCCTCCTTATGCTGCTGCCCCTTTTCCTGTGACTGGCATTGTCACTAGAAAGAACAGATGCCAAAAGTACTTTGGAGACTCATAAATTATGGCACCACCCACCACCTTCCTCCTACTGACATATTCATAAATATTTATTTCTACCTCCCCCCCTTGCTTCTTAATTTTCATTTTCCTAGTGTTTTTTGAATCTTGTCTTGGCATTTTCCCGGGTAAAAAGCGTACCTATATATTGTTTTGAATTTATGTTGAGCATTCTTAGTTAGATGAACAACGAGTACAAGGTGGTAGATGTTGATAGTTGATTTGAACCATCATAAATATCATCTTTCCAAATTTGATTTCGAGAAATGTTATGTCCTCCATATTTTACCATAACAAAATTAATGCTTTTCACTACTTGGATTTTTCAAATATACCATTCCAAATATTAAATTGTAAGAATAAGCATACATGGAGTAGAGATATAAGAATAAGCATGCAAGAATTCTCTTGGTAAAAATAAAAAGAAAAAGAATAGAATTAGGTATTTATCCCACCACAAGCTTCTCACCTCTTTTTGGTGATTTTTTTATTTTGCTTGGAAATTAAATTTTATTGATTATTTTATATTATAATCATGTTAATCATCAATCAATAACTCCCACTCTCTCCTGCCTTACTTTTTCGCAATAAGCTCATCAACCAATTAATGAGTGGCAAACCTATGTGAAGTATGATAGTTGAGCGATCCAATTAGCTTGATATAGGTGTTATTTCACTAAGTTGACAACAAACAAATGCACATCACTAATCCTCCATTTCCACATTTGTTAGCTCATAAAATTCCCATGAATAATAAGATAATATATTATATTGCATAATATATTGATGTTGTAATTATTGTGATAGGGGGATAGCACTTATTCCTTCCTTTTCATCTCTCACAAAAAGGTGGTTTTTTTTTTTGAATAAAAGCAAAAAATTTACATTAAATTACAAATTATTTAGAATTTAATAGCAGAAAAAAGAAGAAAAGCCTTTAGCTTTTGGTGAAGCAAAATTAGGTTTCAGCACTTAGGAAAGCTAGCTAGAGCACTATAAGATTTAAGAGGGTTACATCTTGCATATATAGGGACATTGAAAAAATTGATAAATAAAATAAAGTAAAACTTAAGAATGGTTGAAGCTGCATTTGTGGGTTGTAATACTAATTGGGATGGTTGGCAGTGATTTTGGTGTGAGAAAGCCATTGGTAGTGGGTAGACTGTTGGGGGAGTGGTGGTGTTGTGGAATAAGGATGGTGCCAATGCAAAGAAACAAAGTCCAAAGGAAATTTTAAGTGCAAGAAAGAATGGAAGGAAGGAGAAAGGGCAAACAAATAAATAAACAACAAGAAAGAAAAAAAATGAATAGAAGGTTTTTTTTTTGGAGGGGTGTGGTGTGTGGGACAAGGAAATGGATGGGAATGGTTGGATTAGCATTAAAGAAATGTCTTAAGTAAAGTTGGTATGTCTTCAACCCAAGGAAATGCGCCTGATTTCATGATACTTCTTGGAAATGATGATTCACATCAGACTTGCAAGTTTTATCTCATGAAAAGCACAAGACACAAAATAGTCTCCAATTAAACTATATCAATTCAATAGAAAATTGAAGTTAAATATGCATACACCAATTTTCAATTAAATAGTTTCAATCAATCCATGATGGTACAGGCAATCATTATTGCATAATTTCACTGAATTATGGGAAAAAAACAATACTATATATTTCAAGACTAATTAGATAAGGTTTTACTCAAACATTTTAGCCAACTTCTTAATTTTACCAAAGTTTTGGCATTAGATTAGTCTTAATCATCATTGAAAATAGAATAAAACAAAAATAAAAAATTGGACCGAACAACAAGGAGATGGTGATTAATGAAGTTTCCTCCTCTTTCCACTCGTTTGTGGTTCAATTGTCTATGTATAATTTGCAGAATTTCGTGACCCAGACCAGGTTTCCGATGCAAAAGCCTATTAGCTTCCAGGAGACAAAACCAAAAGTGGGTTTCAAAAGAAGCATGTAGAAACATAGCTCAGTGTTTGTTTTTCTAGACCGATACAATTTGATCCCTTCCGCCAACCGTGTTGACTAGCCTGGCTGTTTCTTGCCTGTTTCTCTATTGACTCCCCATAAATTAAAACCTTTTCATCATTGTTGTTATCAAACATCATTCATACTTCAATTAATTTTACCTTGTCCTGCCACACAATGATAACCACAAATTTGCTGTTATTATCGATGATTCTATATTATTCATCAGGGATTTGCATGAAAGCCTCTCCAGCACATATCCCAATATTAGTTGTTCATTTGCTGTACAAAACTTCAGGGCAATTTGATTAAATTTCAACCTACTAGAAATAAAAACTAGGTGTGAGGTCAACCGTTTTGGCCTGCTGGTCTAATGTTTGATTTCCATGGAAACATTTGGTTTATACAAAACTCCATTAAAATCAAACCGGTCAACTTCATCTAGTCTTCAATTATCTCGAAAGACCCATTTCATCTAAATCATCACTAATTTTCTCGGCATATTAAAATATAATTCAACAATCCTATTCTAGTAAAATGCTATAGTGTGATATCAAGGTATATATTAACTTAATTGGCATATGTATCTTTATATATATAAAAACTAAGCTCATGTGTAAGCAAACCAAGTAAAAGAGACAGGGTGGTCGATGATGCCCTTTTGCTTTAATTTCAAAGTACTAATAAACTAACAAAAACAAGGCAAATTAAGTGAAGATGGAGGGGAAAGGGAAATGCTGTCTTTGAGAGAGGGAGAAGAAAACTATGAGCAATAGGCAATAGTGATATGCATTTGCCGTGCAGCTTTGTATTACTATGAGGGGAGAGTTGATTATGATTTTAATAGCCAAGGAAATGGGGAGAGGGAAGGAGAAGGGAGCCGACCCTTTCCTAGTGGGACCAAAGCAAAGACAATGCGTGATTCCATTCCAAGCACTCTCTTTCACATTTTTTTTCTCTTCTTCCCTGCAAAACCTTTCTCTTTTTTTGGTGGCTTCTCCCTTTCTTTATCACCTCCATTAATTAAAGTTAGAAATCCTTCTTGGTTTTGGGGAAGATCACCAACACCAGTGTAACTTTTGTTGTGAGACACTTAATTAAAATTTCATTTTCTTTGTGTGATTTTACATTTCCTATACACTTTGTTCACAGTGATCAGAGGCAAAGGCATATGGCTCATTAATTATATATTGCAAAATTTTTAATTAACATAATTGGCATGACAAAAAGGAGCCTATTAAATACAAAAGTATATAAAATTCTTTTATCAATTGTTTTCTTTTGACCAAAAAAGAAAGAAAGAGAATTACTACTTAATTTTAAAATCTTTACCTAATTAACCTATATTATATGCACCAATGCACCATGCCGTTTTGTGTCATCTGCACTAATTGCATCCAGTTGTATCATCTAGCTCGGCTAAAACTTTAATTTTTCTGGTTAATTAGTAATTAAAGAGTTTGGACTTTGGAAATAAAGGGTTGGGATCTATCTATGAATTATTAAAAAGAGGTCAATAAACACCGATGGTACAATAATTTTTTGTAGCTTAAGAATCATTAATATTGGAAGGTAAAGTTAGTAGAAAATGAAAAAGTGATGAGTTATAAGAAAATTCATGAAACCTTGGTTGAATTGACAGGGTAGTTCCCACAAATAAATTCAAACAAATTCCGAGACAATTTTTCTTTTTTCTTTGTGATAGGGACAATTTGTGATCACTCGACTCACCTTAATTGTTGAACAGTCTTCATCATTAATTGGGGAGTGGCAACTTAAAATAAAATAACAAGAAGAAAAAGAAAATGGAATACAGCTAAAACAATTAAAGTACGGTAGAATACGTTCTGTGTTTACTTTGAAATTCAATTTAACCAAAGCAATATCAGAAAGTATGATAGCAAAAGGGATAGCGTAATTTACTAAATATATATATGCATATATGTAGATTCAAGAGTTGAAGATTTCTTTAATCGTCAAGTTACATCCCCTAAATGAAGGGTTTGGAGAGACTACGACATTAGTAATTTGACATAGTCGTGTTTAGAGAAATTCTTGATCTAACACCAACTCTCGACGTTTTATCAAGAAAAAATAGGGAACCCCTCAACCAACAACCAAGCAATTAGGTCAGTGATGATTCATATATTTATTATAACTATTCTCAACTGATTTTCTTTTCTAGGTTATATATATATATATATAAATATATGGAAAAGGGTACGTAAAAGAATGCATAAATATGAAGAAATTTTGTGGGAAAAAGTGGAAAAATTAAAAATAGGAGGCATGAATAAGAAAGCTGGCGAAAGATGCATGGGCCATGTACAAACAGAAATAAACCCCGCGGCAGCGGTAGCGGCAGAGAACTGCCCGCACTATGGCACCAACTTTCAACTTACTATTCGTACCATATTTCATCACCATTTCCTTTTATCAACGGCAGTTTTTTTAATACTATTTATTATTTATTATTTTATTTTTGGAAATTAAGCGTTTAATAATTAAGTGGTAATTAATTAAGAATTAAGGAAAATTAGAATAAAGGAAAGATAAGAGGGAGGTATTTAATTGGCCTTATTGGATGTGAAGTTAATAACAAACACGAGACTCTCCCTGAAGAAAAGCCAACCCCACGCGAAGAAGAAGAGGAAGCAAAGGCAAAGAAAACAAAAGAAAGAAAGAGCAGAATAAGGTGTCTCTCTCTTGGACTGATTCTTTCCAATCGCATCTCTTTCTCTCTCTATCTCTCTCCCTCCCCGGTTATACCTATATATCAAACAAAGGAACAAAGAAACAAAGAAAGAAAAAAAGAGAAGCATATCAAACAAGGCCAAGGCAAAGCAAAAGTAGGTGAAAAACCAAAACAAGGAAAAGGAAATGAGAAATGAGAAGAAGGGTGATTTGGGTTATGCTACAGCAACTTGCTATTGAGCTTATCGTTCATTCTTGATTGATTGATTGATTCCTTTATCTTCTTCTTCTTTATCTTCTTCAAAGTTTATTGCTTTCTCCTCACATTGCTATAATGGCCGTTCAAGCTCAATACCCTTCAAATGTCCTTCTCTTAAACAGGTTTGTTTTTGCCTCTCCCTTTCTCTCTCTTTCTCTGCCTATGCTTATCATTTCTTATCTGAGTCTTTTCTCCCTTTTTTTTTCTGGGCATATATTTCCAGAAGCGGACAAGAGGGGCATGAGTTTTCGTTGCAGCAACAAGCAGGAGTTTTTCTTGATCAATCCCATATGATATTCAACAATGGAAGCAACCATGGTAATATCAACAATCAAAATAATAATCCACGGAAAAGAGGAAGAGAAGTTGCAGGGGCAATAACAGCGCCCATCAATTCATTTTCTATGCAAACGCAACCGCCTCAGTTGATAGACCTTTCTCAACTACACCAACCAAATGTAGTCTCCACCGGCCTCCGTTTATCTTTTGGCGACCAACAACACAACTTACAGCAGAATCAAAACCAAAGTTTTCAACACCAACAACAGCACCACCAACAACAACAAAATCTTGTTTCCAACTCCTCTGCTTTTATGTCAATAATATCCGATGATTTGGCTACCCAAATCAAACGGCAAAGAGAAGAATTGGACCAGTTTCTTCAAGTTCAGGTACCAGTTCTCTCTGACTGGAATTGGGCGTTGGTCAGTTTTTAGTTTGGGCAAATGTAACATTTGTTTTGGTTCGTTTGTTTTTTATTAAAGGGAGAGGAATTACGGCGCATGTTAGCGGAGAAACGGAACAGGCACTACCGTGCGCTACTGGGGGCAGCGGAGGAATCTGTGGCGAGGAGATTAACAGAGAAAGAAGCTGAAGTGGAGAAGGCGACGCGCCGGAACGCCGAGTTGGAGGCACGCGCTGCGCAACTCAGCGTGGAGGCTCAGGTTTGGCAGGCGAAAGCCAGGGCACAGGAGGCAACAGCGGCTTCATTACAAGCGCAGCTCCAACAGGCTATAATGAGCGGAGGGGCTGCCGCGGCGCAGGATATCAGGAGAGGGGAGGAGGGGCTAAAGTGCGGAGGGGGAGTGGAGGGACAGGCGGAGGACGCCGAGTCGGCTTACGTGGACCCGGAGCGGGTGGCTGCTTCGGGACCGGTTTGCAAGGCGTGTAGAACACGTGTCGCGTCGGTGGTTCTTCTGCCGTGTCGGCATCTTTGCTTGTGTACAGAGTGTGACCGAGTGGCACAAGCCTGCCCGCTTTGCCTCACCGTCAGGAATTCTAGCGTTGAGGTTTTTCTTTCCTAAAAAAAAAGGTTAAAAAAAGTCAAAAACAAAAAGTTGGCCAAAAAAAAAAAGCAAATCAAAATAAATATAATAATAAATTTTCTTTTTTCTTCTCTTTTTTTTGAGGGTCTGATATTATGGTTGTTCACCCAAGACCCAGAAATTTTACCTTTTCTTTTTTTTTCGCCTTGGTTCCCCCTCTTGGAGGTAATGTACATTGGCCACTTGGGTAGTGGCATTGTTTTTCTTTTCTTTTTTAATTTTTAGAAATTTAATTCATATATAAATTCTTTTATTCGATAAATCCTTCGTTAAAATGTTGTTAAATGTTGATTATACTTGTTTTGCATGGTAATGGAAGAATGCAAATTGCGCTGCCAAGAAAAATGCGGTATGCTTAAAGCTTGTCAGGTTTCAGGGTTTTGTATTTTTATTTTCCATGAAAAGAAAGAATCAATAGTTCGATTTACCCATAAAACTGGGAAAACATGGTAGAGATCTTTGTTTATGTTGTTTCATAGGCAGTCCTGAGGCCCCAAAATCAAAATTACTACTACACTCTGGTGGAAATCAGTGGCAGCAGTGCAGTTTCTAACACACAAAAAACTTTGAAAAATTTCCAGTTTCATCAGGTATAGTTTGAATCATTGGGTTGTTCAATTTTTGTTTTTCCTTTCTGTTTTTACTTGTATTTTACGTTACCCCTTAGCTCATCAAGCTTTTGGTGATGGGTAGCATTCTTTGAATTCATTTAGATTGAATTTTGTTGTTGTTGTTGTTGTGGTTAGTTCAGGGAGTGCATGACAAAATCAAGAACAAGTTATTTGCTTAATGCCAAAAGACATGAATTGACAATGTCCCTAAGAATACAAGATTAATCAAAGATTAGCAACAATTTCCGTGTTGGGAACTCTAAACTTGCCGTTATTTTTGGCAGTTTAGGTTAATTTCTGCTGCATGGTTCAACCGCATCCAACATTTTCTTGTGCCAATTTAGCAGTTTTTCTTCTTCTTCTTCTTCTTTTTTTAATAAAAGAAAAGGAATGAAACTTCCTGAATTTCTTGATGCCAAAACAAGAATTAACCCTGTCCAATGATAATTAATTGAAAGGATTAATCAATCAAAACCCAAACGAGCTACATATGGTTCAAATTTGAAGCACAATCATGTCATCCATCCAGGGTTAACAGTCCATGTGTTGCTCAGATGCACAATGTCTCCATTATAGACATCAACCACCACTATAATGGTTTTAATTATTGCCTTTTGGAGGCAAATCCCTTAAAAACATACCACTATTTCATAAAGGATGAGAAGAAATTGTTTTGTTTAGCTTTGCCTTTAGCTCTCTACTTCAAGTACCTTCTTTCTAACAGGGAGGATCAGGCATTTGCAAAATTTTTACTCCTGGGTTAGACAAGTAAAGAAGAGATAGATGCACACATCCTTTGCCTTTTTTTTTTATTATTATTTGGAATTTCTAATTTATATGAAGCTATGTGTTTTGCTACTTCAAGTTGAAGACATTGGGTGCACTATTGGTTTGGTCCCATGCAACTACTGCTGAGATGCTGAAATATTGCTACTGGTCCCATAAAGGTAGTGATATATATGGCTATTGGCCAATTTGATTGCTATAATGTTTCCATAACCACAAAAGATACCTGCAATATCTATTCCAATAATTCAGCAAAAAGCTGAATGCCCTGCTTTGGTAGATGAAAGAAGGAGAGATTGAGAAAAATCACATACAACAACTGAAGGAAAGAAAGATATAGTTAAATGTATGGTAACAGCACATCAATCTTTCCATTTCGTTGTTCATCTTTGGAGACAAAATTCCCATGGATTATATGCATGTCTTTTCTGCATGCTCAGGAAACCTTTTATCGAGTGGTATTGGGGCTAACTAAGCTAAGCAATTTCTTTTGGTGGTTTCCACCTTTATCAAGGCCTAAGCAGAGGAGACTTTTCCTGTTGTTGTGAAACTCAATTATGCCTTGAAAGATTAATATATCCACCATAAAAGTCCACCGTCACATTAGTCCAGTTTCAAGCTCTCCCTGTTTCTCTTTTGAAAAGTGGGTTGGAGGGAATCAGGATATTGATCTGTTTGATAATTTTCTTTACTCCAATAATTATGCTATGTCTGGTCCTATAAATCCTCTAATCCAGGAATAATTAGAATTTCAAGTTCATGAATGGAGGAATTCTCACTTTTGCGTTTGAAATTCTTGCAGCTATTTTCTCGCAATGTGCTAAACTTATAACAGAAGCAAACTACTGGCCTCACCAACTGCATTACAATACTATTGAATCTTGGAATTCAGCTAAAACAATTTTCCTTGAGAACCAAGAGACTCTGATAAAGAGGCATCAAAGACAGTGATTTTTCGTGACTTTAGCTTGCCTTGTACATTTGTACTGAATGCATATTCTGACACACAAACAGAAGAAAAATTACAAGACTGGAAGCGAGAAAATATAAAAGAAGCAAAGAACTAACTGTTGGAAATATATTTAGGTAAATTTTTATTTGAATAAAGGTCTTTTTTGTTTTTTGGGTTAATAAGGCATTTATATATCAAAGTTTGAAGAGAACAGTTTGATATCTAACCTAGAAAGTAAACCTAAGACTGTGTTTCTTTGAATATATATAATAAGCTGTCTGCAGCAGATTGGATCGCAGGCATACCTAATTACATATTATTATGCAACTTTAACCGTGTCTCTAACTTGAAGATAAGCTGGAATCTGATTGTGACCACATGCCCATCACATTACATTGTCCAATGCAGCTGCCTATGTTATGGACTTTCTCAACTCAAAGGGGTGTGACCAAAAAGCCAGAATAATTCCACAGTACATAAATGCACAAGGAAATTGAAAGGAAGAAAAAAGAAAAAGAGCAAGTTTCACAAAAGAGGGTTTGCTGTTAGATTTATAGCTGTCATGTTCTAAGAACAATCTTGAATTGCTCTCTAGTTATAGACAAACAAAGATTCCTTGCAATTGAGGGAGGATCGTGATTTCACTTGTTTAAACAGCCCTTCTTTAACTTTTTTTTCTTGGATTGATACCTTCTCTCCCCATTTCACCAAAACCATACATGGGAAGCATTTTCTTCTTCTTCTTTGAACTCCATGAGATTCTTTCTCTAAATTAGTCATGAGTGGCTCATGTTCATCCAGAAATTAGTAATCCTAGAAGAGAAAAAAATAAAAATAATGACAACTTTCGGTTTGGCCAACATACAAATATATATATATATATATATATATATATATATGGAAAGAAAGCAAAATTTATCTATGCCCTTTGTTCCTTAGCTCTCACATGCTAGTTCTTTGAGCTACTATATGTACAGTGCAGGATTTTTGCTTCTCGAGGAGTTTGTCAAACTCAAAGTCATAGGAGATGTCTTAAGGGTTAAACATATGATTTTCTTAAGTTTTTTAGTCAGAGGGGAGATCTATTGAAGCTATTAGGTGAGAACTGAAGAACAGGACTTATCTAGAGACCATGAAATTGAAGGGAAATTATGGTTTGCAAGTCAAATGATTCTTTCATGCCAAGGAAAATTAAACAGACAACACATGAATCTCAAGGCTGTCAATGGGGCAACGAAGAGGACAAGATAGCATACACAGACTAATTACAAGAGCAGTGCCCCCATGTTCTCATAAATTGGCTCTCCATTCCTTGTTAAAAAGACCTTGAAAATAAGTATGCGGAGTGTGTAGATGTACCGACAGATGGTCTTATAAATTTTCCTGGGGCCAAAAATGAAAAGTTAGTGTGAGTCATGGAACAACAACAGCCTGCAAATGATAAAGACTTGATATACAGTGTGCGACCGCATAGATAGTTTCCAATAAGACACCACAGAGAGGAAAATGCAAGTCCATGAGAGCACACAGAGCACTTGCTTTTGCCCTTTGTTTTAAATCAATATTTGGAGTGGAAGACAGAGAATGCTGTCCCGTCTTCTCGTTATTATTGTTATCACCAGATCCCCAGTCTTTATGATTTGTCTGTGACACCATTTGTCCAACCTTGTTGTCATAAACCACACTCTGATAGATACATACTTCTATTCCATTTTCATTGTAATAACAATAATAACATACATGTTAGGTTGGTCCTCTCCTGGATGAATTTTCTGCCTGCTAAAATGCCTCAGAATTGACACTCACGGGCTTTCTTTTTCATTTTTTTCTTTTGGAAATTGATCATAGCAACTAAACGTGGGCTAACCTTTAAAACACCAGTACAAGCTGTCTTGCCAATTAAATCCAATGCTATATGCAGCCAAGTAGCCAGAGATAATGTTTTGATAAAGCATTGTATGGAAGGGGGCCCTTGACATGATGCACAATGGATGGCAGTTTGACAAAACAGGGACATGAAAGATCGATCTGATGCACATTTTTGGTACTCTTTATTGCTAACATGCATGCCTTTCAGTACTGATTTTGGCCTTTTCTTCAATTTTGTTAGGTGTGGGAAACCACATCTCGTTTTCTCCCGCCATCACACTTGTCAACCAATATTACTAATATCAAATAATGCAGTGGTAATTGCCCAGTCTTTTTTCTTTTTGGGAATAAGCAAGATCTAATCGTTTAGGTATAATGTCTCAGAATGGCAAATACCTATCTCTAAATCACATAGAATGATTACTCTATTGAAACTGTTCTTGTGAATCCTTTCCATTTCTGGTTCGTGCATGTTTCTGACCTCTCTGGTTCAGTAAGTTCCAAAAATAAATAACCTCTGAACTCAAACCTCAGGCTGCAAGCCACTTGAGTAAGGATCAAGGGGCGTGCATCAGACCCTGGTTTTAAGCCCAAGCGATAATGATGACGAATACGATTGGGAAAACCCCAAAAAAAAAAAAGGTTTTCGAGTTTTTCCATGATCAGGATGCTTAAAAACGTCATCTGACATGTTAGTTAAAGTGGTTGAATCGGACGAGTTTGAGTAGGATTCATGGGTTTGATCGTTCCAGTTCATGCACTTCTCTTGTATTACAAATTAATAAAGTAATTGAAAAAGTCTAGATCAAAATAGATAATAAAGTCTCATTCTTCCAAATCAAAAATATCATAAATAAAAAGAAAAAAAGAGCTTATTTTTCATCACTTTGTTCATTTATGATGGAAATGAGTTATCCGTGAAGAAGCATGACTACAAGTTCATGTCTAAACATTGAAGATAACATTCCCGTGTAGGGTTTTTCGAGGGGTAATAAAAGAGTTCACGAGCAAGATGAACATGTAGCTCTTGGCTTTCGTCATGTCTACTATATCAGACTATTCATGTC